ATATAACCTGGTGCACGTCGACAAAACCTCCTCAACATTTAAGTCACTTATGTTCGGGCTTTCTAGGTAGGCAATGGTAATGCACCGAATTATCTCTAAAGCCAAGGCTAAGGCGAGGCGGGCTAACGCATCAACGTGGCTATTTTGATCCCTCAATATTTGGGACACCTCTATCTTTTCAAACTTCTCTATCCTCGACTTTGCCCTTTGGTAATAGGATTTCATCCTATCGTCTCGAACCTCAAAGTCCCCATTAATTTGATTTACCACCAATTGGGAATAGCAGAAAATATGGAAGTGCCTTACCCCGATCGAGTACATGATATCCAGTCCAGCGAGTAGCGCCTCGTACTCGGCCTCGTTATTAGATGCTTTAAATTCGAGTCTAATAGCTTGCTCCGCTATAAATCCTCTAGAATTGGTCAAGACTACACCCACTCTTGCCCCCTTACGTTCGAGGATTCATCCACATGCAAACTCCAAATGTCATCATGGTCAAAAGTTACTAGTTTCCCCTGCGAAGAAGAATTGGACGTAGAGAATTCGGTAATGAAATTAGCAAGGATTTTTCCTTTGATGGAAGGACGGGGCTTGTAGCTTATCTCGAACACTCATAGCTCCACGACCCACTTGGCAACTCGTCTAGACATATCTGCTTTGTGAAGTATGGGCTTCAAGGGCCGATCAGCCAAGGCCTCGATAGGATGAGCCTGGAAATAGTGCCTAAGTTTCCTTGTCAAGATGACCAATTTTTCATCGGTAGATACCTGGTCTTGGAATCAAGTAAGGTCTTGCTTACATAAAATATAGGTCTCTGTATACCTTCGTATTCCCTCACTAGATCCCTACTAATTGCCCATTCCTAAATGGATAAGTAAAGGATTAAAACTTTGTCTACAACAAGAACGAATAAAGCAGGAGGAGACCTCAAATACTGCTTGATTCTCTATATCACCTAATCACATTCTTCACCTCAGGATCCCTTCACTGTCCCCTTAAGCATGGCGAAGAACGGCTTATACCTATCTGAGGACTTGGAGATAAATTGATTGAGAGCCGCTAGCATGTAGGTTAACTTTTGTATGTCCCTGACAGTCCTCGGCCTCTGTATGTCTTTCACGGCCTGCACTTGATCGGGATTGGCCTTTATGCCATGAAAAGTGACCAGATATCCCAGGAATTTGCCTGATCTCACCCTGAATGCATATTTCAAAGCATTGAGCTTTAGACCGTACTTTCAGAGCATGGAAAATGTGACCCCGAGATCCCGAAGATGGTCAGCTCTCACCTTACTTCCTACCAATATGTTATCAATATAAACTTCCATTGTGACATGGATTTGTTGCTTAAACATCTTGTTCATCAGGCGTTGATATGTGGCACTAGCATTTTTCAAATCGAATGGCATCACTGTGTAACAATATATCCCTCAGGATATGATAAACAGCATTTTCTCTTGATCAGGTTTGTGCAATGGGATCCGATAATAGCCTGCTCGGGCGTCCATAAAAGGAATATGCTCATGTCCCGCAGTCGCATCAATGAGCTGATTAACCTTTGCCAACGAGTACTCATCTTTGGGGCATGTCTTGTTCAGGTTCGTAAAGTTCACACAAACTCGTCACTTTCTACCTTCTTTGTAAAAATCGTATTGTATAGCCACTCAAGGAATTAGACTTCCCTGATTGATCTGGCCTCGAGCAACCGGTCCACCTCCTTGTCAACAACTTGTACATGATGAGGCACCGACCTCTGAGCCTTTTGCTTCACAGGCTAGAAATTCGGATCGAAATGAAGCCGATGGCCTATTACCTCGGGATTTATCCCCGTCATCTTTGCTGGAGTCCATGCAAAGACGTCGGCATTATAACAAAAAAATTTTATCATATCAGACCTCTTAGTGCCTCCTAACAATGCCCCTATCAAAAAAAAACTCTCCTCGTCCCCAGATTTTGAAGGACCTTAACCAGAGCCTCTATGAACTGATCGACTGGATCTGTCATGGGATCATCTACACCTGGCCGACAGAATTGTGATGTCTATTTGAATAATATTGCCTCGGGGTCACACTCTTGGGACCTGGTGTTAACCCCGTTCTTCACCACTGCGTAAAAATAGCTTTTTTTATGGTGCTTGATCGTCACAGATTTCCATGATTCTCCTCAACGTGGGAAATTTTATCTTCTGGTGGTAAGACGAATGCATTGTCTTCATAGTGTGTAAACATGCTTTGCCCATTATGGTATTGTATGGGGAGTCAGAGTCTATAATCACGAATTCAACCGGGACCATGACAACCTCGACAGTGACCATGAGGGTAACCTTTAAAAGGGGAAGGGCATATGAACCGTTGAACCCTACGAGAAGGGTTTTCATGGGCTTTAAGTCTTTTTAAGTGAAGCCCATTTTACGAAATTGGTTGTCATACATTGTCTCAGATGAACTTCCCCAGTCTACTAGGTTCCTCTTCACATCATATTTCTCAATCCAAAGGGTGATTACATGCGGAAGGGCCAGTCCAGCAAGATCGGCGCTGGAAAAATAAATGGTCTCGGCGTCAAGCTGATGTCTTTTAGATGATTGCCCCTCGAACCTGTTTCCTTTACTTTCACGGCTTGTGCAACCTTTTAGAGGTCAGCTCGGAGCGAATTGTAAGTCGGAAGGTCCACCGTGCAAGGGTGTATTACTTCAATCATGGTTGCCACTTCTCGGGCTATGCCTACTTCATCCCTTGCCAAGCCCCTTGGAACCGTGCCATCAATGAATTTCCCGAGATGACGTTCTCGGACCAGCTGCTCCAGGAACAATTTGTACACCCTGCAGTCCTCGATTAGATGTTCGACACTTTGATGGTAAGAGCACCTAGAAGTCGAATCTATGGAGGATGGATCCCCTTGCATCTTAGTCCTTCTTTATCTTGTGAAGCATTTTGTAAATGGGTTCCTTGAAGATTGTGCACACTCCTTAAAAGGACATGCGGCTTAGAGCTAGCATCGGTGCTCCCATCCTGATAGGTGTCTCCTTGTCCCGCTTCTTCAATACAGAAGCTTTAGGCTCGGGGAAGGCCAACTCTTCTTCCACCTTAGCATACTTGTTTATACGTGACATTTGGTCCTTCATATCCACTAGAGTTCACTTAGTCAAAGACCGATATATATCAGTGTCTGGGGACAACCCTAGCTGGAAGGTTGCTATCGCCTTGGCCCCTAAGCATGCCTCAACTTCATTCACCTCCCCCCACTATCTGATTGCGTATTGCCAAAGGTTCTCTCCACCACTTCGTCTAAGTGTTAGCAGAGCACCAATGTTTTTCGGCCTTTCGTTGTTGGTGATAAATCGAGCAACAAATAGCTCGGTCATCTACTTCCAAGACTTAATGCTTTCTGGGGCAAAGCTCTCATACCATTTCATGGCAGTGTCCTCTAGGCTCATGGAGAACACTTGGCACAACAATCTCTGGTCGGTGTCATAGATGGACATCAATTGTTTATACCGTCATAGATAGCCCTCAGGATCTGTCCTTCCATCGTAAACCTTGAAATAGGGGACGGTAAACTTCTTCGGCATCTCAATCTCCTTGAAAGTTCAGATGAATGATGAGATGATGTGTTCATCCTCTATGTCTTCGTCCTCCATTCGGAGGGGTTTGCAGCGCTTGGCATCCAAGAGTAAACGGAGGTCCTCTCGGGGTCTCTTACTTCTAGGCCCCTCTGCGGTTGAGTCCATGTGGAATTCTGCCACCTCCGGAGAGTCTATGGGGGAGATCTCCATGAGATAGATCTAGCTTGCACTTCTTACTTCCTTTACATCTATCCTCGGGGGCACATCCTTCGTAATTTTGAGGTCTGCACTTCTCACTCAGGTGCTCACGCAAGCTCCTCCTCGAGGCCTCCATCCTTGTGCCCCGAGAATTACTCCAGTGGATACTCTTGTCTCCATGCTTGCTACTCCACCAGCTGGTCTCCTCTGACCGCTTGAAATTATTTTGTCGGGTCTGCACATTGGCGTTGTCTTTCTCAAGCCATTTCAAACGGCCTCCCATTCGTTTCTCCATTAACTCAATGATTTCCCAAGCTAAGACGCCTTGTCCCCCAAAGATTTGGTCCCCTAGTAATGTCTGCTGCGAAACACGCTAAGCCCCATCCAACTGGTTCAAGGAGCTTGATTCAGTGACTGTTGGGAGCTGGCTAGCTTCCACATTTCTCACGCGTAGGCTGCCCCCCCAGCTCACCTTGGGATTGTGTGTTCATCATGACACTATCACTACGGGAAAAGCTAGTCTGTAGTTTCCCACAGACGACTCCAAATAGCACAGGTCATATCCTGAAATGAATTGAGAAGGCGATGCGTGGAACGATCCTGATTGATAAACCTGAAACGAGGGATTAGAAAAAAGGGGTTGGGCATGTAACCTTATATTTTTTCTTCTCAAATTGCATACCTTGGTCCAGCTTCTTGAGGGATATTTGTACCTGGGTTTGCAATGATGGAAATGCTCTTCAACCCAATCCTATAATTTAATGGCCTACACTCATATCCTTGCATGATGAGTGTCATCCCATCAAATCTTCTCATAACAAGTCTCCTCAAGCGAGTGAACCTTTGCTCAGGAATAGCCAAGTATTCATGGCCCATCCCCCATCATTAAATACCTCATCTTAGTGCTTGATACCTACGTCTGAGCATTCACTACTCCGGAATAATTACCCTTGGGGTTCGTCCAGGACATCAAGTCGGCATAATGGCAATTAATGCCTTGTAATGGTGATTGTCTTCACATTTCTTGAGGACCTGGATGCTCATTAATGACTGTCACAACCACTTAGTACCTCATTAATGAGCTATCAGATCTCTTTAATGCTAGGCTCTGAGGGGAATGCTCGGCCCTTCCTGGCGTAACTCCTCGTCATCTCTCCCAGGCACCCTTTGCACTCAACGTTTGTAACTGTCCACATGTCCATTTACTAACATGTTTTTCACACAAAATAGAATGATCTCACCTGACTTCATTTCTGGGAACTTCTCATCGACAGAGTTGGATGAATATGGGGAAAAAGAGAGGAATGCAAATATAGGCACTAGGTAGTCCATAAAATCAATAAGGGGAAGCATCTTTCTCTTGAACCAAGACTGGATTATGAACATGTGCATTACATCTGCTTCTTCATCGCCCATGGCCAGCACTAGGGTATGTGGACTAGACATCACCATTTTAATTCAAGCCCCCCAATGGAGAAAATTGGCTAGTCAAACATTTGATTGCGTGCCAATTCACCAACCCAATGTTTGAAATAATTCGTTCAACTAAACCCTCTCTCTTTTTCTCACCTCCTTTTCCTCCATTCTTCTCTTCTCACTTGCTCTGATTTATAGGAATTAGGGCTCCAAGGCTCTCTCGCTATTGCTGGGATTGTCCAAGATCCTATAGGTTCAATTGCGGTTGCGAGTGGCTTCATGAGCTCTGTTGCAGAGTTGAAGACAAAGATGGAGTCGACTAGCCTCGTCCATGGCATTACATCTGCTTCTTCATCAACCTAGTGTCCTTATTGAGCCCTCTACCCTTTAAAACATCATTGTACACACTTGCAATGATCTTGAGGATTCCAAGAGAAACACTATCTTCTCACACTCCAATACTCATTTAGAAGAAGTGAATCCAAAGGGTACCTATAAAGGGACACATAGTAACCAGTATTTTTGGATGCACTCTTTTGGAATGAAGTAACCAAAGAAGAGAAAGAAGGCACCAAGAACTGTGCAGATGAGAGAGTTCCCATAAATGAAGTATTTTTGTGTGAAAAGCGTGTTTTTCAAAAAATCGTGTTTACTAAACACGTTTGTTCCATTGCCCACTTTATTTTTTTTGGTTTAAAAAGGGAGTTGTTGACTCCGTTTTTCAACAAAAGTGGAGTTATTGAATCCGTTTTTAAAACGTGTCGTAGTTTAGTAAATAAATTCAAAACTACCGTATTTTGGTAAAATTGTCTAAAAAGAATGACAAATTGGTAAATAATTCCTTAAAAGAAGGTTTATCCAAGGTACTAGCTAAGACTGGATGAAAGGTTGTATGAGATTATTAGAACTTGATAAAGAAGAGGTTGTTAGTGAAATCACAATAAAAGGTTAGCATCTTAAAGTGGATTGCCGTTAGTATTATGATAATAATGATAAAGTTCAATTTGATGGGGGGCGGCATACAATAGGCTTCTAATTAAGCAAAAGTTTGGTTTAATGGTATATCACGTGATCGATTTAATATTTTGTGATCGATCACTATATAATGATTGATCATAATTAGTTATAACTTAATATAATCTTTAAAATTTGTTTTTTCGAGTAATAATCTTTTAAGTTGTAATTTAAACTCTCAAAATATTTTAATTTAATATTAAAACGTTAAAATTCTCTCTCTCTACCTTCACTGAATTAAAGAAAAACTCCCAGTGTCCTCGGATCTTGCAAAATGGCCGCCTCTGCTCTGAATTCTGAACTCTCCAAACCTCTTTAATACACAGATTTTACATGTAGCCTTGCTCTCGCTTTGTGCTTGTTTGCTCTCCGAACCCTCTTTGGCCAATTTCAACTTTCCATGCAAATGTTTCTACTGCTAGGAAACTTTTATTGCCTATTTAGTTAATATTGATCTAATCAAGTTTGACGAGATTGAGATTAAGTTTGGGCTCAGTTCATGGTTTGAGTCTAAATTATCAAAAGGCAGGTCAGACTTAACTCATCATCTCAGTTCAATACAAAGCTAAGAGTTCAGGAAAAGTCAATACCCATGAGAGAGTAATCATTGAGATAGACGTTGCTCCAAGATAGTGCTCATTCTCAGTTGTAACTATCTTTCTCGATAAATTAGTACCTTGACTCTTACGTCACCGCTTCAATTACGGTTATGCGCCTATAAATTGTAAACTCTCCTACAGATGTAGACGGGACACCCCTCACATTTAGCATACTCTTAATTTTTCTCTCTCTCTCCCTCTCCTACTACCTTATACTCTCATTAATAGAGTTTTTCGGCCACCTTATCGCCTTCAGTGGTTAGGTCACCCAGACCCAACCACCCAAATCATTGTCTCTTATTATTAATTGTTTCATTAATTACTTTACACACACACACTCGACTAATTTCATTGTACATATTCAACTTTGTGCATCATCAAAATTCTACTTAATACTGTCAAGTTGCGGCAAAAAATAGGGGTTTGGAATCGGTTCCAAAGAAGTTCATTTTATAGGAGTACTTGTGGTCCGTCCCGTGTGACGCACGAAATTATAATTCATGCCTATTTTTTTTATTAATTTTGTAGCAAGAGATATGGTGCTAATAAAAAAGTACAACGGTTATAGCTATAACAATGTTAGTGGATGATGCTAACTATCACACTATTCCGTCTATTTTATGTTAGAATTATTAGCGTTATTCAATATTTTATAGCGGAACTTTTGAAATTTGGGAAAAAAAAAAAATGATTTTGTGGATGATAAAATGGGTTATTTTGCAATAGTGGAGTCAGAAATTTTATTCAGAGTGAGCACCTTAATATAAAAAATTAAAATTTTTTTCTTTCACTTGATAAAAGTAACACGGTGCTTTTAAATTTGTTATATTATATTTGGTACTCAAACATTTACTAGATACAAAATGGTTTAACATCAATATGCATAACATATACAAAAAAAAGGCAATTAAAAGATGCTAATTATAATTATTTACAATTAATTTCCGTAAGTTTTCAGACTTTAAAGAAGTTGTATGATAACTTTATTATCCATACTATGAAGATTATCTTTCTCTATATATTACTCTTTCGATTATGTAATGTAATCCTCACAATTTTTATAACACAAAAAAATAAATTTGACATATCAAAAACTTGTCTAGATGTGTCCGTAAAGTATAAAATATATCCAAAAATTCATAGTTAATTAAGTATTTGTCTATACTACTTTATAAAACAAGAAATTAATAGATTGGACATAAAATATATATGGTGGGCACTATGAAAAGTATCAAAAAAATTAGAAATATATAAATAATAATTAAAAAAAAAAATTAGGGTAGGCCCGTGTCCAATCCAATCCCCCCCTGGCGGGGGATCTATTACTGGCTCCACCACTGGTGATTTGTACAAAATTATAAAGTATTTGGAAATATTATGAATCTCATGCAAAAAAAACATGTCACATTTATATTGTTCCCATCATAGTGCCCCCCTCAATATGGCATGTTTTGATTTGTAACCTGGCCGGATCGTATCCATGGCTCCTCAAAAGTAAAGAAAAAAGAATAAATAAAGAGATAAAACATGTTTCTTCTTATTTTCTACTTGATTCGTTCCTTAGCTTAATTCCTGTGTACATAAGTTTCGCATATAAAAGGTATTTTTTTTTAATATTTTATCAATTTCAATCGCACATCATAAACGATAGATGGAACTCAAAAAGAATTGAAAAAACTTTAAATCTAGATAATTCGGGTTCTCAACATCTCTAATACTATATTAGCGGTTGTAATCATCTTTTTTTCATTCAAGATTAATAACATAAAAGTTTTGTACTATTTTTATTACTATATTGACTAGGAATAGGATCTTGCTTTAATCTATCTTTTCTCCTTCCTCTCGGTCCCCTTTGGAATGTACCAATGTAGAATAAAGGGGATGTCTGGAAAAAAGATTTGAAGAAAAAGCAAAAGGCAAAGCAATATTCTCTCTTTCTTTCTTAGCAACAGACCTATGTATTAAGAAAAATTTGAGAATTCTAACATTTTGGAAAAGGATAAGAAATAGAGACTACATTCTCATATTTCAATAGGGAAAATTCACCAACACTTAAGGTATTTGAAAGATTCCCTATTAAACGAACACTTAAACGAGTATGTCGTGTTTGTTGATGCATTTGAATTCTTACATTTTAGATAACGATAAGAAGTGGAGACAATAAGATTACATTCTCATACATATCACCCGTGATAATCCACCAACATGAAAGTATTTTTAAGATTCCTTATTAAATGAACGCTTAAACTACTACGTCGTTGTTTGATGCATTCGAAATGACAACTTTCATAAAACATTAAAAGTGTTTTTATTTCCATATTGTCCCATGAAATTACTATTATAACAATTAAATTCTATTCTCAATAATTTGTTCCAAATTAATTTTGGATTCCATCAATCGCTTTCTTATTCCATTTTCACCACTTCTCATGAAAACATTTTATTTTCACAAATTCCTAATAGCCTTCGATTTACTTAAAAATCATGAAAATAAATTTATGATTGCCACATGATGTCTGTGAAGTTAAAAGATCCAAAAAAAAAACCTTTTCGAACAAGCATCATACTAATGAAATAGATTATAATTCAAAAACTTCGACAAAGGTTTTTTAGCGCCAAGCGGGGATTTATATGGATAGACTTGTCTATTTGTCTATGAATTTCATGATTTATTTATGGTAAAATAGAAATGCTCATTAAATTAGGACGTTTTAAAATTATACTGAAAAAGTAGGATTTTAATCCTGAACAAAAAATCGATAGGGCTATTGGTTTTCTACACGAAAATTATGACTTACAGGTAATTATCTATAGAATATCCGTGCATGTGATAAAATGAAGTCCTAAATGCAAACAAATTTACAGCAAATTACTTTTTCTAATTTCTAAAACGAAGGTGGTGGTGAGGGGGTAGAGCAAAAGGAAGGATACTAAGGGATTGGTGTAAAAGGAAAGATGTTCTTTTTTATGTCTGTGTACTTAAAAACTTGCTGTGAATCTCATGTCTTGCCTGCAAGAATGTTGGGTTTGTGCCTTATGCACAGCCTTTTTAGAGTCTACACCAGACAAAAATCTTAAAGTGCTGGATGTTCCCAACGGCTAGGCTTTGCTTTTAGAATTTTATTTTTTATTTTTTATTTTATAGCACAAAGAGGGTACTCAAAAATAGAAAGGACTTCTAGCTTATGCAAGGTCCAATTCATGTCAGATACTTTTTTTTTTTCCTGATAACTTGGAAAAAACTCTAACAGTTTATTGTCGGACTTAATGACTTGCATAATCACTACAAAAAACCTCCGAGGCTCGTGCAATATTCCACTAATCACACAAGCTAATTAAATTGTAGGGCTTCTTATCCAATGTATAATCAAAATTGAATTAATACTA